AGCGACCATGGGAGGCTACCTCACACAGCGACCCTGGAAGGCTCCCTCACACAGCGACCATGGGAGGCTACCTCACACAGCGACCATGGAAGGCTCCCTCACACAGCGACTATGGGAGGTTACCTCACACAGCGACCATGGGAGGCAACCTCACACAGCGACCATGGGAGGCTACCTCACACAGTGACCATGGGAGGCTACCTCACACAGCGACCATGGGAGGCTACCTCACACAGCGACCATGGGAGGCTCCCTCACAGTGACCATGGGAGGCTACCTCACACAGCAACCATGGAAGGCTCCCTCACACAGCGACCATGGGAGGCTACCTCACACAGCGACCATGAGAGGCTACCTCACACAGCGATCATGGGAGGCTACCTCACACAGCGACCATGGGAGGCTACCTCACACAGCGACCATGGGAGGCTACTTCACACAGCGACCCTGGAAGGCTCCCTCACACAGCGACCATGGGAGGCTACCTCACACAGCGACCATGGGAGGCTACCTCACACAGCGATCATGGGAGGTTCCCTCACGCAGCGACCATGGTAGGCTACCTCACACAGCGACCATGGGAGGCTCCCTCACACAGCGACCATGAGAGGCTACCTCACACAGCGACCATGGGAGGCTACCTCACAGAGACCATGGGAGGCTACCTCACACAGCGACCATGGGAGGCTATCTCACACAGCGACCATGGGAGGCTACCTCACAGAGACCATGGGAGGGTACCTCACAGAGACCATGGGAGGCTACCTCACACAGCGACCATGGGAGGCTACCTCACACAGCGACCATGGGAGGCTACCTCACACAGCGACCATGGGAGGCTCCCTCACACAGCGACCATGGGAGGCTCCCTCACACAGCGACCATGGGAGGCTCCCTCACAGTGACCATGGGAGGCTACCTCACAGTGACCATGGAAGGCTACCTCACAGTGACCATGGGAGGCTCCCTCACACAGCGACCATGGGAGGCTACCTCACACAGCGACCATGGGAGGCTACCTCACAGAGACCATGGGAGGCTACCTCACACAGCGACCATAAGAGGCTACCTCACACAGCGGCAATGGGAGGCTACCTCACAGAGACCATGGGAGGGTACCTCACAGAGACCATGGGAGGCTACCTCACAGAGCGACCATGGGAGGCTACCTCACACAGCGACCATGGGAGGCTCCCTCACACAGCGACTATGGGAGGCTCCCTCACACAGCGACCATGGGAGGCTCCCTCACACATTGACCATGGGAGGCTACCTCACACAGCGACCATGGGAGGCTACCTCACACAGCGATCATGGGAGGTTCCCTCACGCAGCGACCATGGTAGGCTACCTCACACAGCGACCATGGGAGGCTCCCTCACACAGCGACCATGAGAGGCTACCTCACACAGCGACCATGGGAGGCTACCTCACACAGCGACCATGGGAGGCTACCTCACACAGCGACCATGGGAGGCTACCTCACACAGCGACCCTGGAAGGCTCCCTCACACAGCGACCATGGGAGGCTACCTCACACAGCGACCATGGGAGGCTCCCTCACACAGCGACTATGGGAGGTTACCTCACACAGCGACCATGGGAGGCTACCTCACACAGCGACCATGGGAGGCTACCTCACACAGCGACCATGGGAGGCTACCTCACACAGCGACCATGGGAGGCTACCTCACACAGCGACCATGGGAGGCTCCCTCACAGTGACCATGGGAGGCTACCTCACACAGCAACCATGGAAGGCTCCCTCACACAGCGACCATGGGAGGCTACCTCACACAGCGACCATGAGAGGCTACCTCACACAGCGACCATGGGAGGCTCCCTCACACATTGACCATGGGAGGCTACCTCACACAGCGACCATGGGAGGCTACCTCACACAGCGATCATGGGAGGTTCCCTCACGCAGCGACCATGGTAGGCTACCTCACACAGCGACCATGGGAGGCTCCCTCACACAGCGACCATGGGAGGCTACCTCACACAGCGACCATGGGAGGCTACCTCACACAGCGACCATGGGAGGCTACCTCACACAGCGACCATGGGAGGCTACCTCACACAGCGACCCTGGAAGGCTCCCTCACACAGCGACCATGGGAGGCTACCTCACACAGCGACCATGGAAGGCTCCCTCACACAGCGACTATGGGAGGTTACCTCACACAGCGACCATGGGAGGCAACCTCACACAGCGACCATGGGAGGCTACCTCACACAGTGACCATGGGAGGCTACCTCACACAGCGACCATGGGAGGCTACCTCACACAGCGACCATGGGAGGCTCCCTCACAGTGACCATGGGAGGCTACCTCACACAGCAACCATGGAAGGCTCCCTCACACAGCAACCATGGGAGGCTACCTCACACAGCGACCATGAGAGGCTACCTCACACAGCGATCATGGGAGGCTACCTCACACAGCGACCATGGGAGGCTACCTCACACAGCGACCATGGGAGGCTACTTCACACAGCGACCCTGGAAGGCTCCCTCACACAGCGACCATGGGAGGCTACCTCACACAGCGACCCTGGAAGGCTCCCTCACACAGCGACCATGGGAGGCTACCTCACACAGCGACCCTGGAAGGCTCCCTCACACAGCGACCATGGGAGGCTACCTCACACAGCGACCCTGGAAGGCTCCCTCACACAGCGACCATGGGAGGCTACCTCACACAGCGACCATGGAAGGCTCCCTCACACAGCGACCATGGGAGGCTACCTCACACAGCGACCATGGGAGACTACCTCACACAGCGACCATGGGAGGCTACCTCACACAGTGACCATGGGAGGCTACCTCACACAGCGACCATGGGAGGCTCCCTCACACAGCGACCATGGGAGGCTACCTCACACAGCGACCATGGGAGGCTCCCTCACACAGCGACCATGGGAGGCTCCCTCACACAGCGACCATGGGAAGCTACCTCACACAGCGACCATGGGAGGCTACCTCACACAGCGACCATGGGAGGCTACCTCACACAGCGACCATGGGAGGCTCCCTCACACAGCGACCATGGGAAGCTACCTCACACAGCGACCACGGGAGGCTACCTCACACAGCGACCATGGGAGGCTACCTCACACAGCGACCATGGGAGGCTACCTCACACAGCGACCATGGGAGGCTACCTCACACAGCGACCATGGGAGGCTATTTCACACAGCGACCATGGGAGGCTACCTCACACAGCGACCATGGGAGGCTACCTCACACAGCGACCATGGGAGGCTACCTCACACAGCGACCATGGGAGGCTACCTCACAGCGACCATGGGAGGCTACCTCACACAGCGACCATGGGAGGCTACCTCACACAGCGACCATGGGAGGCTACCTCACACAGCGACCATGAGAGGCTACCTCACACAGCGATCATGGGAGGCTACCTCACACAGCGACCATGGGAGGCTACCTCACACAGCGACCATGGGAGGCTACCTCACACAGCAACCATGGGAGGCTACCTCACACAGCATCCATGGGAGGCTACCTCACACAGCGACCATGGGAGGCTACCTCACACAGCGACCATGGGAGGCTCCCTCACACAGCGACCATGGGAGGCTACCTCACTCAGCGACCATGGGAGGCTACCTCACACAGCGACCATGGGTGGCTACTTCACACAGATACCATGGGAGGCTACCTCACACAGCGACCATGGGAGGCTACCTCACACAGCGACCATGGGAAGCTACCTCACACAGCGACCATGGGAGGCTCCCTCACACAGCGACCATGGGAGGCTCCCTCACACAGCGACCATGGGAGGCTACTTCACAGATACCATGGGAGGCTACCTCACACAGCGACCATGGGAGGCTACCTCACACAGCGACCATGGGAGGCTACCTCACACAGCGACCATGGGAGGCTACCTCACACAGCGACCATGGAAGACTACCTCACACAGCGACCATGGGAGGCTACCTCACACAGCGACCATGGGAGGCTACCTCACACAGCGATCATGGAAGGCTCCCTCACACAGCGACCATGGGAGGCTACCTCACACAGCGACCATGGGAGGCTCCCTCACACAGCGACCATGGGAGGCTACCTCACACAGCGACCATGGGAGGCTCCCTCACACAGCGACCATGGGAGGCTATCTCACACAGCGACCATGGGAGGCTCCCTCACACAAGCCAGGGAAACCCTGGCGCCATACTTACAGGAATCGTCCCCTGCACTTCCTGTACTCGCTGCAGTCATCCGCTCTACAATAATTACTATCTTAGGTAAATATGGTTGACTGGTGGGCTGCTGGTGGTGCAGCACCCGCCATTCCTCACCTGAATATTGACAGCACACCGGGAGCAGCTGATGAGAATCTTTCTCGTCACCTGAATATTGACAGGTGGACCATGAACAGCTGATGAGAATCTTTCCCGTCCTCTGATTGTTGACAGAAATGCTAAGATCAGCTGACGAGCCGCCAACCCGTCTCTACAATATTGACAGGCAGGCTGGGAACAGCTGATAAGAATCTTCCCGTAGCCTGAATATTGACAGGCAGAGCGGAAACAGCTGAGGAGAATCTTCCCGTCGCCTAAATATTGACAGGCAGAGCAGGATCAGCTGACGAAGCCCTTCACAGGTGTAGGGATCAATGTGGGGGGGCGTCGGCCCCCCCGTGCCCACCTGGGCGGGCATGCCCACAGCGCCGCCCCTGGCACCCCGCCTCCCTCCCTCCCTCACGCCCACCGCCTATTTAATTATCGCGTCAACCTGTCGCTTCTTGTACACTGACGTGGTCGCCGAAGCCTCCGCCAAGTGCGACTCGTCTCAGGAATGTCACCAAGATGAAACCACACAACTTCTGCCGCTGGAGGGTTATGTCGTCTGCTACTGCTGGAGACTGAAGCCTCTGAAAGCATTCCCCGCCGACCCCTGGCGGCGCCACCCTCCCCACACCACACTAATATTATAATACACAACACAAAGCAGGGGGTACTTACTTTCCTAGTTCCTCCTTCAGCTCATAATTCTCGCTGAATCGCGTTGAAGGTTGAGTAGCCATGTCGCTCAAGCGGCAGAGTTTACCTTCCTCAGACAGTAACACTAAACACTCCCGTCAACCCTGGAGCTGGAGCTACTCTCAGTCTACTTTACACCCCGCTACTTCCACCACACCACCATTAGGACTGGTATTACCACCAACAAGTGTATGTTGACTGGGTAGGAGACGTGCAGGGGACCCAGACTACTCTCGCACCCTCGCACTACTCTCGCACCCACAGTTGCCACCTCCTCTTCTGACCCCGGCCAGCCCGCCAATACTCACTCACACATGGACCAGTTCATCCATATATCAACAACTCCAACAACATCCTCAAAATGAATTACATTTCCGTAATCATAAATTGCATTGATGAAATATAAATTTAATTAGAAAATTTCAGACATATAATTTACTAGAAATATATATAATATTTCCACTAGAGAATCCTCTATGTGCTGGCGCGCGAACAGCTCTTGTACTGTGTTCGCTTTCCCGGTGCGCGCGTCGTCTGCGCTCCCCTCGACCGATGCTCACTCTTAATTCTTAGCTCGCCAATCTACAACTTCTTGGCGGCAATAATCAATACAATTTAATAAAATACAACATTTGAGCATAAAATTGAACTGACGAAGACCATTTTCTGACGAGAAAGAATATTGACATGATTCTTCGCTAATAAATATGAGAAGGGGAAAAGAATGTGCCCAAGTTTCCCCTCACTGAAACGTACTAAATTTTGATCAACATTGCGAATACCAAAGAAAACACGCATAAGTGTTTGGAGCAGCGACGAGACCCAGAGAGCTGCTATTGATTTTGTGCGAGCCAGACAGAGAAACGACTTCACTGACTTGCATTTGAAATCACTCAACTCATATTATCCCTTACATAACCCATCCAACAATTATACACCAAAATAAGAACACAAAATCTGAAATTTTGGGTGCCTGGAAGCCTAGGAGTGTTTGGTCAGGTCTAGCTGAGGATATCTGATCTATAAACAAAATATTTAAACTTGACTCGCCTCGTTTTAAAGTGACTGCACCATTCAGGCAAGATGTATCTTAAATTATTGAGTACATTAATTGTCTTGGGATTCATTGGTGTGCATTTCTCTAGCAGCTGCAGTTGTGCCCGTCTAGTGGCATCGATTACGCGTGTCACCCCTCGAGTGCCGTTTTCTCTCATAATCGCTACAGAAACACAGTGGGAAATAACAAGAAAATCCTAGTGAACGTCAATATTACTTTATATTTAATTAAACACTGGTTCATACAGTAACCAAAATATGGTTGTTAATTTTAATATTTCTACAGGAAAGCGTTCATGCTCCATATAATGATAAATTAGTAGCTTATTTACCTAATATAACTGCATACATATAACATATTCTTGCAAGATGGGAGACACATTTTTGTCCATTTCACTCCTATTTTATTGTAAACATAATAATCAAGTGAAGCATCATTTTAACGTTTTATTTTAATGAGTGCCACGAGCGAGAATGGAATTTCCATACCAACATTGTTATATGACACATCGTTGCTTTCTTGCAAGTTTTTAAATAAATAAAGTTGTTACCCACTTCGATGAAGTTATCCTAGTCTCCGGGAAATGAGCTGCAGCTCCTGGCCTCCGGCTTCTCAGTCAAGTGATATAATTCCCGCACCACAAACTATAGGGTGTTCTGCGGCCACAAGTGTTTTGACAATTCCGTTTACCTTGGTATCCCCTAAAGTCTTCCTGTTTGTACGCTCACAAGGAAATAGATACACACAAGAGGTGAACCCCCACTTCTCGGTGTATATACACAAGAGGTGAACCCCACTTCTCGGTGTATATACACAAGAGGTGAACCCCCACTTCTCGGTGTATATACACAAGAGGTGAACCCCCACTTCTCGGTGTATATACACAAGAGGTGAACCCCACTTCTCGGTGTATATACACAAGAGGTGAACCCCCACTTCTCGGTGTATATACACAAGAGGTGAACCCCCACTTCTCGGTGTATATACACAAGAGGTGAACCCCCACTTCTCGATGTATATACACAAGAGGTGAACCCCCACTTCTCGATGTATATACACAAGAGGTGAACCCCCACTTCTCGATGTATATACACAAGAGGTGAACCCCCACTTCTCGGTGTATATACACAAGAGGTGAACCCCCACTTCTCGATGTATATACACAAGAGGTGAACCCCCACTTCTCGGTGTATATACACAAGAGGTGAACCCCCACTTCTCGGTGTATATGCACAAGAGGTGAACCCCTACTTCTCGGTGTATATACACAAGAGGTGAACCCCCACTTCTCGGTGTATATACACAAGAGGTGAACCCCCACTTCTCGGTGTATATACACAAGAGGTGAACCCCCACTTCTCGGTGTATATACACAAGAGGTGAACCCCCACTTCTCGGTGTATATACACAAGAGGTGAACCCCACTTCTCGGTGTATATACACAAGAGGTGAACCCCCACTTCTCGGTGTATATACACAAGAGGTGAACCCCCACTTCTCGGTGTATATACACAAGAGGTGAACCCCCACTTCTCGGTGTATATACACAAGAGGTGAACCCCCACTTCTCGATGTATATACACAAGAGGTGAACCCCCACTTCTCGGTGTATATACACAAGAGGTGAACCCCCACTTCTCGGTGTATATACACAAGAGGTGAACCCCCACTTCTCGGTGTATATACACAGAGTTCACTTTAACCCTGGGCAATGTTCAGGGCCTGCTAGGGGCCAGATTCACGAAAGCACTTACGCCAGCACTTACGAACGTGTACATCTTTCCTCAATCTTTGACTTCTTTGGTTTCATTTATTAAACAGTTTACTAGCATGAAAACTTCCCATTCAACTGTTGTTATTGTTATAAACAGCCTCCTGGTGCTTCGGAGCTCATTAACTGTTTAATAATTGGAAACAAAGCCGCCAAAGATTGAGAAAAGATGGACAGATTCGTAAGTGTTTGCGTAAGTGCTTAGTGAATCTGACCCCAGGGGTACACTGGCTGGTTGTGCAGTATAAGTTATGGTGGCGGCCTTAATAACACTATTCAGACACTCAGAGCTACACTCACCCAGACAACAGTCGAATTTTGATGTTGTGGAGTATTGCGTCAGTTTTGTGGTAGATAAAGTGTGAGAACACGCTGGTAGATACGGCTGTGGAGAAGTAGTTAAGAGTACTTCATCAAGGGAGCCGGTCGGCCGAGCGGACAGCACGCTGGACTTGTGATCCTGTGGTCCTGGGTTCGATCCCAGGCGCCGGCGAGAAACAATGGGCAGAGTTTCTTTCACCCTATGCCCCTGTTACCTAGCAGTAAAATAGGTACCTGGGTGTTAGTCAGCTGTCACGGGCTGCTTCCTGGGGGGTGGAGGCCTGGTCGAGGACCGGGCCGCGGGGACACTAAAAAAAAACGAAATCATCTCAAGATAACCTCAAGATAACGTGTAAAGTACTGAACAAGCTACTAGTGCTTGTTTAAAAATACAATTTTTTAATATTTTCCAAAGTTATATGGAGGGAAGATGAGACCTATGTCATGGTTTGGTGTTAGGCTTAACAGGAACCTTCACGTGATAATAATTAAAATGAAAGCAAAAGAATTTATACACAATTGTTTATCAGCCATTTTTCTCCTTCTGTTTAAGGTAAAAATAAAACATGTATTATTTGTTAACACTCAATATGAATTTTCAAAATAACGTTCAGTTGTTATTGGGACATGTAGCCAGCGGCCCGTCCTCTTAGAGTGCCACAACGGGCAGAAAATGGTGTACTACACCGTCCAGGGGCCAGATTCACGAAAGCACTTACGCAAGCACTTATGAACCTGTACATCTTTTCTCAATCTTTGGCGGCTTTGTTTCCAATTATTAAACAGTTAATGAGCTCCGAAGCACCAGGAGGCTGTTTATAACAATAACAACAGTTGAATGGCAAGTTTTCATGCTTGTAAACTGTTTAATAAATGTAACCAAAGCCGTCAAAGATTGAGGAAAGATGTACACGTTCGTAAGTGCTGTCGTAAGTGCTTTCGTGAATCTGGCCCCTGGTCTGACCAAACCTAGCGGACCCCGGATAAAAAGTGGCTCTTTGTGAGGCGCTATGATTATTATTACACCATATTTTGTCCGTTGGAGCATTTTGACGTCAAAATGTGATATATTCCTCGAGAGGACGGGTTGTAGAGGCCGGCATGTTATCATAGTCATGTATGAAATGTTAGGTGTGTTTCCCATAGAGTTTGTCAATGTTTTTTAATAAATTTCTCAGAAGGGGGAGAAACGAAGGGAGGGGGAGGGGAGGGGAGAGGGACGAGGGGGTGAAGAGGGGAGATGAGACTCGAGTGATGCCGGGTACCCGTTCTGTATATATAAAAGGAAATGTTAAGGTCAGATGGCACAAGAGGTGAGGCAAGAGGCGGGGCAGGAGGTGAGGCAGGTGGGGCAGGAGGTGAGGCAGGTGGGGCAACAGGTGGGGCAGGAGGTGGGGCAAGAGGTGAGGCAGGTGGGGCAGAAGGTGAGGCAAGTGGGGCAGCAGGTGGGGCAACAGGTGGGGCAGGAGGTGAGGCAGGTGGGGCAGCAGGTAGTGTAGGAGGTGAGGCAGGTGGTGCAGCAGGTGGGGCAGCAAGCGGGGCAGGAGGTGAGGCAGGTGGGGCAAGAGGTGAGGCAGGTGGGGCAGGAGGTGAGGCAGGAGGTGAGGCAAGAGGTGGGGCAGGAGGTGAGGCAGGTGAGGCAGGGCTGGGAAGGGAGGCAGCCACACCTTAAAGAGGAGCACTAACAGGGGCCAGCGGACCAGGGGTCCACACCAACTCTCGCCCCACTTCTCAAACAACTAACCATTCCTCACAAGAAGAATACTTGCACCTACATCTACCTGGAACTTACCTGCAATCAATTTCGAGAGTTATTCTTCTCGCCAAGTACGGTTGGAGGCCAGGCTAGACTGACGCCAGTTTGATCGGTAAGACTGTTGCTTACAGCGTCCCACACTCTAATAGGAGATAAAGCAAGCAGGTAATGACAAAATAGCTAACAAGAGCTCTAACAAGTTCAAGTTCAAGTATGTTTATTGAGATAAGCAATAAATACATCTCAAAGGGATAGAGTAGCTTAGGCTATTTCTACCCCCCATTATCTAACAACTAAGTTGAGCCCTTGATAGAAGTATCAATACACCACACACATTCAATCGCATTCAATCGAGTCAATCGCCATGGCAATTTCAACAGTAGAAAGAT